TATTTTTTGGTTGTAGTTATCATTGTTGTTTGGCAGGTCCGGGTTGGATTCGAACCCCCCAGCTCCAGTGTATGTGACTGGTGCCTTAGCCTGTGAGTTACAGGTGTTGAGCCCCTGGGATAAAGCTTTTAAGAATCACCAGAAATAAAGATTATAAATAATATTATGGCTCTCATTATGTTTAGCTAGCACTTGGAAGCATTAAACAAAAAGTAGTTCTCCCAAAATAAGATTCTGTAACCATGAAGGACCAGTGTACATTTTGAAATTGATCAGCTTTATTAGGAATGTCTTGTCATGAATTCAAATGTGATCATAGTAGAAATACTAAATTACTTTGAAAATCCTCTTTTTATATAGTTATTCCTTGGTATATGTGGGGGATTGGTTCCAGGATATTCCCTCCCCTCCCCGCCAGGTATTCCCAGAGCCCTGCATACTCAAGTCCTGCAGTTGGCCCCGTGGAACTCAGGAAAAGTCTACCCTCTGCATACTCAGGTTTTGCATGTCAGTGAATAGTGTTTTTGATATGTGTTGGGTTGAAAAAATCCATGTATAAGCAGAGCTGTGTACAGTTCAAACCCATGCTGTTCGCGGGTCAACTGTGGTTTACTACAGTTTTATGGACACACGAATAGCAGGTATTTGTCTCATAGAAACAACAGAAGAGCCTATGAGCATGCTGCTTAACTTCTGTATGCCTTGATTTCCTCTTCCAAAAGTTGGAGTTATCTGTGGTAGCCCTGTTACATGATGATTAGCTGAGACAGTCTACATAAGGTCCTTAGCACACAGTTCCTGGCATGTGGTTAAGTGCTCAATAAATGTTAGTTGCTGTTATTATTAGCTACTGTGAACGCACACATATATACGCATGTACATATATAATCTAGTGATTTTGATATGTTTTTTTTTTTCCTTAAATGGGATTCTACCAGAATGTGGACATTTATGGTTATCTGCTTGGCTTAGATCTATCCTAGCTGTTTGTATTTCATTATGGAACTTTATTTTGTCCTGTAGATCTATAGAAGTTCTTTGCTGTAGTTAACAACTCAATTAATGACTACCATTTTAGACTCTAGGATAACATTTTTGATGTGCTGATTTTGTTGACGGGATAATGGTCCTGCCAGTAAACAGTACTTGCATTTGTGATTGTGATAAGCTTTTTCTTTGTGCATCCCAGGTATAATTCCAGCACTCCCCAAGAATGTCTAGATTCTCTAGGAGTGCTCTGACACCATTGCATGCACAAAATGTTCTATTCCAACAGCTGCACTGTCATGGTGAGATAGAATATAATGAATATCTGTAGTTTCCAAATGTGGTATAGAAAGAAATTATAATGAAAAAATGGAGATAGATATTTTTAATTATTTAAAAAGGTTTAAATCTAAGTTTCAATAGTTCTTTTTTTCCTCCTTCAGCATGGAAATGTCTGAATAAATGAAGTCTGTGTATAAAAATGCATTGTTGGGAGTTCTCTTAGCATGAATTGCTAATAACAGTGATTTGAGTAAAAGCACATTAGAAATCCGTCATCCATTCAGTCTGCACTGAACTTTGACACTGTCATGCAGAATTCTGGTGATGATGAGAAAGTGGAGCTACTCCTCCCAATTTCCTGCTTTGGCAAGTCTCTGACTTAGGAATGGGATGAGTAGGCAGCTGCATGGTGCCTCTTAACTTTGAGATATGTGCTCTTTTTAAGTCTTACCTCCTAATCCGCCTTTGGGATTATGCTACTGGTGTCATACTAACATCAGAGTTGATACCAACCAAAGAAACTAATTCTCACTCTCCTTTCCCTGCAGATGATCCCAGCCCTAGACTCACTGCACAAGCCCAGGTTGCTGAGGACATTCTGGACAAATATAGGAATGCCATTAAACGGACCAGCCCCAGTGAAGGCGCAATGGCAAACTATGAAAGCGCAGGTGATAATCACCATAAAGATTTGAATAGTAACTTTTAGATTACAGTGATAGGGTAATCTGAATTCAAATATCCTTTAAAAGAAAGAATAGGGCTGGATGATGCTGTTGCTCAGTGTTACAGTGCTGGCCACATGCACTGGAGCTGGTGGATTGGAACCCGGCCTGGGCCTGCTAAAATAAAACAAACAAAAAAAATAGCCGGGCATTGTGGTGGGTGCCCATAGTCCCAGCTATGAGAGGGAAGAGGATCTTTCTTTTCTTTAGACAGAGCCTCAAG